GAGGCAGAAGGCAGGAGGTCGCAAGAAACAGCAGCAGCAGCAGCAACAGCAGCAGCAGCAGCAGGGAGGAGGGGAGGGGAGGAGACCCAAAGGTGGGGCAGCATGGCCCCAAGATCCGGTGGCGCTGGGGTATGCCTGCAACCCGCCAGAGCACGCCGCGGCCTCTGGATCGGGAGGAGGCGGAGGGGGACGGGCCTGGCCTTTCCTGCAACAACTGGGCGACGACCAACTCATCCTGAACGATTTCTTCCGCGACGAGCCCATCCGGAATAGCGTTCCTTCCGGACGAACCCTCGTCCTGCTCCCATCCGTGACGAGTCCTTCTGGAATAGCGTTCCTTCCGGGTGAGGTTGTCCGGACACCCTGATCCTGCTGAGCTTGTCTGAGGATGACCTCGTCTCTGGGTGAACTCGTCTTCGGATGAGCTCGTCCTGAAGGAGTTGTTTGGACGAATGTAGGCAGTTGTCCAGACGAACTTGGGCAGCCTGAAAGGGATAGGTAAAAAGGGGTGGTGCTTTTAGAGTTTGGATCTGTTTCGCTTCAACACGCATTCGCACGATGTGGCTGTCACAAAAGATCGCGCCACGATCTTGCATTGCCAAAGTTTTGAAGCTTTGTCCGAATTCGAAATGCAAACTCCAATAGTTTCGTTGCGAACGGGTTTCCCAGTCCGCCATCGGGACAGGGAAACGCCCTTAGGCACCCCACGTCCCCTGCTCGCAGGCACCGTAGACGATCAGGTCGGATCTGGACGTCACGCCGCGATCGACGAGCGCAGCAGAGCCGTGCAAGCCGCCAACCGTAACACAATTCAATACACCTGGGGTACGGCAGTACATTTGGGGCGTGCAACATGTTCGGGTTGCGAAAGTATTGCTCGATGTTGCGCGCAACATGACAGTCGGCATAGAGTGCAATACAATTCTCTGGCGCCGTACATGTTCAATCCAATCGGTCGCCTGCGATGCATTTGCAATGCGAGGTCCGCGAGGGTTTTAGCTGTAACGCGCGTTCTGCGCCTGACGAACTACTCCACGCCAAGCGCTCAAACGACTACTGTCGCCGATGAGCATCCGAGATCTTCGAGAATCTTTCGGGACGCCTGTCTGGGGTCTGCTTCCATTCTTTACATGTCACGAGGCCGTTTGCAGGCACACTTTGCAACGAGCGGCGGAAGCGCGCAATCTCTCCCGCACGGTCCCGTCAGATATTCAAGTGCCATCGGATCCCACCGGCCCTCTGGGCGTAGATGGTTTAGGGAGTTTCCTCTTCCACCCCCCTTCTTCCCCTTCGGGGAGAGGTTTACCCCTTCCTCCTACCCCCTCCCTTAGACCTGGGCGGTGCCGCGACCCATTGGAGCGTCCAAAACGGCCTCGGCGAGGAAGCCCAAATCACAAGTTTTACTAAGGTTTTGGCTCTATGTTGGGCTTTTGGGGGGGCGAGACTAATTACCACACCCCCTTATTTGATCGATGTCCTCCAAGATGGCCTAAGAAGCGCCCAGGAGGCCCCGAGAGGCCCCGAGATGGCCCCAAGATGGCTCCAAGAGGCCCCCAAGAGGCCCCCAGGAGGCCCCCAAGAGGACCCCAAGCGGCCCCCAGAGGCCCCCCCGAGGCACCCAAGACGCCCAAGAGCCCCCCAGGACCGCCGAGAGACCCCCAAGATGTCCAAAGAGGCCTCCAAGAAGCGCCCAAGAGATATCCCAAGAGGCTCCGAGAGGCGTCCAAGAAACCTCTGGCCCTTTTGCTTGCCCTCCTCCTCCTGCTCCTTCTTCCTCCTCCTACTTCTTCGCTTCCTCCTCCTCCTCCTCCTCCTCCTCCTCCTCCCCCTCCTCCTCACCATCATCATCCTATATATTGTCCTTCTCCCCACTCCCTCATCCATCCATGCAGCCTCCTCCTTCTCCTCCTCCCTCCTTCGCACGGTTAGGCCGTCCACCTTTTTGCTCCCGCACTTCCCTGATCACCTCAACTCGCCTGGACATTGTTTCTGGATGGGCTGGTGGGGATACGCGAAGCGTCTAGATTGCTTCCACCATAACATTTGACCTTTACCTCCTTTTGGGCTGCCCAAGATAAACTCGTCTGGACAAACTCGACTCGGACGAACTCTTCTGGATGAAACTGCTTCGGATGAAACGGTAGGCTTTCAAAAGGCTACAGTCGGGCATCTTTGCTTAGCGTGTCGCGGCGGCGGCCCCGGCGAAACGCTATGCCCTGCAAGCGGATAGCGCGCCGCTCCGATCTGCGGGGCGGGAGGCTTGGAAAGGCTCGGGACGTTGACGCGTGTGGACCGCAACGTGGATAGTGGGTCGTGCCGAAACGTGGTGGGCCAGAACTGGCGGCAAGCCAAAATTCCCGACTGCATTTCGCTTGTCATTTGCGATTCGATTCGCTTCGCGAGGCGCACGTCCTGAGTGCGGGGGTGCCAGCGTGTCCGCGAGACCGTTGGGGGAACAAGACGGCCAGCATAGTTCAGATCCGTGGTGGTCCAGCGGCCACTGTGGGAAACGCATCGGAGGTTGGTGGGTGAGATCGCAGTGAAACGGAGACCCCCCACCGGGAAATCGGTTTCGGTTTCGTGTTCGTGTCGTGCGTGCGGGCGAGGCGAAGCTGCGCGTGATCCTTCTGTAGCTAGGCCGAAGTAGGAGCGAAAGTCCGTTCCCGTCCGCCGGTGGCTGGGAGGTGTCCCAGTTGGGCCGGGCGGCGTCCCGGGTGTCCCGGGTGTCAGTAGGAGCGAAAGTCCGTATCCCGTCCGCCGGTGGCCGGGAGGTGTCCCAGGTGGGCCGGGCGGTGTCCCGGGTGTCCCGGGTGTCCTGGGCGTCCCGGCGCTAACGCATGTCGCTAATTTCATAATTCATTTTTCGGCGCCTGCGGCGGGCTCTCTTATCCAATCAAGCTTATATTATCAAATCCACCTTGTCCAATCCAATCAATCTTATCTTATCCAAACCATCTTGTCCCATCTTTTCTTATCCCACCCAATCCAATCCACCCAACCCAATCCATCAATTCATTTGTTTCTGCGCCTGCGGCGGGCCACTCCAATCCATCTTATCCTATGCAATCCATTTCTTCCAATCCAACCCATCTTATCTTATCCAAACCATCTTGTCCCATCTAATCCAATCCACCCAACCCAATCCATCAATTCATGTCTGTCGGCGCCTGCGGCGGGCTTTCTTATCCAATCCATCTTGTCCAATCCAATCAATCGAATCTTATCCAACCCATCTTGTCCCATCTTATCTTATCCCACCCAATCCACCCAACCCAATCCATCAATTATTTTGTTTCTGCGCCTGCGGCGGACCAATTCAATCCATCTGATCTGATCCAATCCATCTCTTCCAGTCCAACCCATCTTATCTTATCCAATCCATCTTACCCGATCCAACCCAATCCACCCAACCCATCCACCAATAGTGAGATCGACACTGAGATTCACCGATAGGTCGGTCGACGGATAGGTAGATAGTGGGATCTCATCGTCATCGCGATCATCATTGTGGTGGAGGGCGACTCTGATAGAGAGGGAGAGAGAGAGAGGGCGAGAGAGAGAGAGAGACACAGAGAGTGAGAGAGAGAGAGAAGGAGAGAGACAGAGAGAAAGAGAGATATGAGATCAAGGTGACAGGCTGGAGGTCAGTCAGGGTGAGCATTGATCTCAATCCCCCCCAACCTCCTTATCGCCCGCAGGGTGGTCGTATAGGTATGATTACCTATACGATCACCCTTCGGGTGATAAGGAGGTTGTGGGGGGGGGGGGGAAAGGGGAGGGAACCAATATCAGACTCAATCGATCTCACTATCGATCTAAATCAACGGGACACCACGGGACACCACGGGACACCACGGGACACTTGTCGATCTCACTATCGATCTCACGCAACAGGACACCACGGGCCACCACGGGCCACCATGGGACACCGCGGGACATCTATCGATCTCACTATCGGTTTCACTATCGATCTTACTATCGATCCCACTCAAGGTGACACCATAGGACACCACGGGACACCACGCACGGGACACCACGGGCCACCTCGGGATACCACATCGATCTCACTATCGATCTGAATATCGATCTCGATCTCACTATCGATCTCGCTCAAGGGGACACCACGGGACACCGCGGGACACTTGTCGATCTCACTATCGATCTCACTATCGATCTCACTTTTTTGGGACACCACGGGACACCGCGGGACACTTGTCGATCTCACTATCGATCTCACTATCGATCTCACCATCGATCTCCCTCAACGGGACACCACGGGAAAGCGCGGGACACTTGTCGATCTCACAATCGATCTCACTTTCTGGGACACCACGGGACACCTCGGGGCACCACATCGATCTCAATGTCGATCTCACTATCGATCTCACTATCGATGTCACTATCGATCTTACTATCGATCTCACTATCGATCTCGCTCAACGGGGCACCACGGGACACCACAGGACACCACGGGACACCGCGAGCCACCGCCGGACGGACGGACGGACGGGCGGGCGGGGGAGAATCAGTTGTCTTGACTTCGCCCTGGCAACGGCGGACACCACGGGACACCACGGGACACCACGGGACACCACGGGACACCGCGAGCACCGCCGGACGGGCGGGAGGGGGAGAATCAGTTGTCTTGACTTCGCCATAGTAACGGCGGACACAACGGGATACCACGGGACACCACGCGACACCGCAGGACACCGCGAGCCACTGCCAGACGGGCTGGAGGGGGAGAATCAGTTGTCTTGACTTCGCCTTAGCATCGGCGGGTTCAGTCCTCTCGCGCGCCCACGCAGCTTCGCCTCGCCCGCACGCACGACACGAACGAAACGAAACGATGTCCCGGTTGGGGGTCTCCGTTCCACTGCGATCTCACCCCCCAACCTCCGACATACGCACGTCTCGGGCAAAAGAAGAAGGAGGAGGAGGAAGAGGAGGAGGATGGGGTGGGGGCCCAGAGGAGGGAGAGGAGGGGGACAGCGCCAGGCCTCGGGGGCCATCGGCGACCGCGGCGGCGGCGGGAGCGGCGCCTGGCGGAGGCAGCTCGCCACTGCCGATCAGCGTCGGCGCCGCCGCCGCGGTCGTCGCCATCGACGCTGGTAGAAGACATAAAAACACATAAACGTTTGTTTGGCGCTTTGCTCGGATATTTAGGATCTGCGCTGGACCCCCCTTCCTGGCGCGCGGAGCGCGCCAGGGGCGGCGCCAGAGGCGCCGCCAGGGGGGCCCAGCGCGGATACAAGAAATCCGCGCGGAGCGCCAAAAGTTTATGCTTATGTCCTTGTTTCTTCTTGAAGCTGGAGCCGCCGCTGTGGTCGTCCTCGTCGGCGTCGGAGCCTTCGCCATCGTCGCTGTCGGAGGGGAACGCGACCCCTGAGCTCTCGGCACCTTCCGCGGGACTAGCCTGCGGGAGCGCTGGAGGCGACTACATGCAGTTGGCAAGTCGTCCCCGGGAACTGGCCGAGAAGTCCGGGAGCCATACCTTGAAGAAGACCTCGACGCCGGAGAACAGTCATGGGATGTCGACGACGAGTGACGACGACAGCGAAGCGAAGCGAAGCGAACTCCGGAGTCGTGCGCGCTCCTCTGGGGAGTTCGCCCGTGCCCATCGAGGCATGGCGTGGAGGCCGTGGCCCCGACAGGAAGATCTTCTGTTCGAACTTGTGAAGCGTATGCCCGCCCACATGATGACCACCGCTCAAAGCACTCAGCGGCCAGGATCCATCGCAGGTCGACGAGTGGCGACGAGGCGCTGTTCAGCCCGTCGCAGGTAGCCGTCGAACCCGTGGGCGTGCGAGGCAGCGCGCCCGTGATCGGCGCTGCGAGGACGAGGAGGAATGGGGAGGATGATGGAGGGAGAGGAGGAGGGAGGAGGAGGAGGAGGAGGAGGAGGAGGAGGAGGTGGAGAGGAGGAGGAGAGAAGGAGGAGGAGGAGGGGGAAAAGGAGGAGCAGGAGGAGGAGGACGAGGGGGAGTGAGGAGGAGGAGGAGGAGAAGGAGGAGGAGGTCGGTCGGTCGCTGCTTCGGACCTCGGGTCGTAAGGATCAGCCACGGCAACACATCAAAGACTGATTCAATATGTGCGACCTGAAGTGCGCGCGCCAAACTGGAAACGAAGCAGGCGTGCCCTCCCTCGGAGCCCCGAGTTGTCTTCGCTCTACCACGTGGCACGCGCACAGCAGACCAAACATACAACACAACATCTTGCAGCGCATCTTGCCACTCCTCCTCCTCCTCTTCCTCCTCCTCCTCATTTTCATCCTCCTCCTCAACATCCTCCGCTGCTCCTCCTCCTCCTCCTCCTCCTCCTCCTGGGCACAGCCTGGGGCGCCACAGAGTCTATGGTGCCTCAGCAGGACCTCGAACGCGGCTAGGGGCGCACCTTGCAACCGCCATTAGCCGCGCCCATCGGACACACTCCGCGCCGTGCGCGGGGCACGGGGAGCAACGGTGCGAGGGTCACTAACGGCGCACCGCCGGGCAGTCCCCACTCGCACCGCGCCCCCCGTAGGGCAGCCAGAGACAAGGATTAGGGCTCTGGGAGCAGGCGATAACCTGCATACCTCAGAACGCTCTTGGCTAAGCAGTACTCGCCCCGTCTCAATCGTTCCAGGATAAGGCGACGATCCTTCGAAAGATGACGGGGCTGGCACTCACTCGCAAGGGACACCACGCGCTGGGTGGTGCATGCAGCGCAGTGAGTGCAACAAAAAACCTGGGTTTCGCCCACGAACAGCGAGGCCACACGATGATGCTTGGACCCAGCGGCCTTCAGAGAAACCTGAGCCTGCTGGATCCTTTGCTCTAAGGTGGGCGGCTCTGGCTTGACAATGATTAGGGAGGGGGCTGAACGTGCAGAGCGCTGACGGTGCAGACAGTCGACGGACGCAATGGCCTCACCCGCCCTGGCGGCCCATTTCCCCGTAAGACTGACCATCTTCTTCTGCATCAAAATAAGCTTCAGAAACTGGGGATCGGGCCGCAGGACACGAGCACGACTGTTCGCAGCACCGTCGGCGGCATCATTACCAAGTTTGTCCCGAAGCTTATACCTCCCTTCCGCTATCAAAGTGTCCGCCACATGGGCTTTCACTTTCTTGACCTCGGGGGGGGTACCCCCCCAATCGTCAACTTTGTGCCATACAAGCTTCCAAAGACAGGCCCAAGCCGCCGACGCCGACGTGGTGTCAGCTGGTCCGCGGATATTGTAACCTTTCCAAACAAACTCTGAATCCGTGTGCACGACAACAGGTGGCACCGCGAACCTGAGCACTGCGAGCAGGGCATAAAGTTCAGCACCGTCAATGTCCTGCAGCGGGTAGGGCAGGAGACCTGTGATGGTGCAGACAGCCGTGTCACTGTCGGCGGCCAGCGCGACGACTGCCCATGCAGCAATCCCGCGATGTGGGTAATCAGCAAACAATGACCCATCAAGAAACAGATCCCCTGTGAGCTGTTGCGCATCCCCGTGCCATTCCACACGAGGCTCCAACGGCGTCTGCAGCAGAGCCTGAGGGGCCTTGGGGAGCGGGACAAGCACACGCTCCAGCATCAGGCGCACCAGGTTATTCTGGTCCGCATGCGGGAGCATGAGTCTGATTGCATCAGGGAGTGGCTCTCCTATTGCCTCGAGCATGCTCTTACACACGGCGTGCCGATGCACGAGGGACCCAGGGGCCTCAAGGCATGCAAGGCAACTCGGGGAGTCAATCCAACCTTGTTGAAATTGCCGATCTTGGGGCCACTGAGCTCCAATGATAGCACTCCTGAGGTAACCACGCTGCTGCCAAGTGAGGTTCCCCTTGGCGCTCAGGAGGTACTTCAGAGGCCCATCCCAGAAACCAGCACGAAATTCAGGCATCTGAAGGTGCTCCGAAATCTGCAGGTTGACCCAGTGGCGCACCGCGTGCGCACAACAGTGCAGGAGGACCCTGGGGCAAATGTCCGTGAGTTTCAGCTCCAGACCGTCAGGCAGCTTCCAGACCAGGGGCTCGACGACGACGATCCCGACTCTGGTGAGCGTAGCATAAAGGGCTCCCAAGGGGCCCCGAACCTGCGGCCACATTTGGTCCTTCCCAGACAACGCCAATCTAGCAGCCTCAAGGCCATGCTCTAAGACATGACATGGCATACGCGACGCCCAAAGAACAGAACTAAACGCTTTGATAGGCTCCAGAGTAGCCCTCCAGATCGGGTCGTAGTTGGCCTGCGGCGCGAGCGCGAGAGCGAGAGTGCGGCTCTTGCCGCTGGTCTTGGCGTCGAGCGCCGCAGCGGCCTGGGAACGCAACACGTCCAGCTCCTTTGAGGCAGTACCCTGAACAGAGGTCCCAAAGGCAACCGAAGTCTCCAAAGCCGCCCTGGCCATGATGGCCATGGTTTTCCGCCTGGCCATACCTCCCTGGAGATGTTTCAATCTCTTGAGCTTGGGTTTGGCGACCTTAATCCTCCTCCTCCTCCTCCTCCTCCTTCTCCTCCTCCTCCTCCTCCTCCTTTTCCTCCTCCTCCCCCTCCTCCTTCTCCTCTTCCTCCTCCTCCTCCTCCTCATCATCATCATCATCATCCTCCTCCTCCTCCTCCCCGGACCGACGCCGTTCCATCCTGGTAAAGGGGAAAAGCGCAAGGGACGCCCGGGGCGCCACTAAGAGTTCTTAGAACTCGACGAGCACCTTTGCGCAACTCTTTTTTTTCAGGGAGCGGCAGGGCGACATTGGCGTAGGAAGTTGGTCCGAATAGATGGCTGGACATCGGTTTTCCTGCCGTTGCGGGCGCGGCAACGAAGCCAGTGCTGGAATCCTGTGGGGACCAGCTCGGGCTTGGATGGCCATTCCTGTAGAATGACAGGGGTTGGCATCAACCACCTCGAGCCCACAGCTAGCACGCAAATTCAGGGCATTCGAGGGAACCGGTCCGCGTAGATGGCCGAAGCTTGGCCATCCTGCCGTTGCGGGCGCGGCAAATTCAGGGCCAGCCCTGTAGATGGCCAATACTGGTTGCTACCCGTTGCGGGCGCGGCAACTGTATGCCACTACCTACTGGTATCCCGTGTGGGCCAGATTTGGCTTGGATGGCCACCCCCGTCGATGGACAGGCGTTGGCATCCAAAGGCGGCGCTCCGAAGGGGGCAGCAGGAAGTGGCTTGGCTTCTCAGCAGGCAGGGTGCTTCTCAGAAGCCCTGGGAGGATGTTTTTTTTCGTCCTCCAGGGGTTTCTGTGAATCACGTTTCTTACTAGATATCCTTGCCCAATTGCCCCCTCTGGCCCCTTCGGCGCGCCGCCAAGATCTCGAGCCCGCAGAAAGGACGACTAGACCTGTTCTTTGGCAGGCCTGATACCCAAACCCTCGCAACGAGGGCACAGGTGGGCATTCGAGGAAACTCGTTCGCGTAGATGGCCGGAGCCCGGCCATCCTGCCGTTGCGGGCGCGGCAGCTGTCTGCCAGTCCTGGTAGCCTGAGGGAACCAGCTTTGGCTTGGATGGCCAGCCCTGTCGGTTGACGGGCGTTTGCATTCACAACCTCGAGCCTAGAACTATGATGCCCGCCCGTGTCTCCAGGGGGCTCATCGGCATCCTACCCTCAACACGAGGGCAGAACTAGGCATCCGAGGAACTTGGTCCGCGTAGAGGGCCGAAACTCGGCCATCCTGCCGTTGCGGACGCAGCAACGTGATGCCATTGCGAGTATCCCGTGGCATGTACCCTCACGTCGAGTGGTACGGGTTTACGGCACTCACTTCAAGTCCTCCTCCTCCTCCTCATCCTCCTCCTCCTCCTCCTCCTCCTCCTCCTCCCCTCCTCCTCCTCCTCCTCCTCCTCCTCCTCCTCCTCCTCCTCCTCCTCCTCCTCCTCCTCCTCCTCCTCCTCCTCCTCCTCCTCCTCCTCCTCCTCCTCCTCCTCCTCCTCCTCCTCCTCCTCCTCCTCCTCCCCCCTCCCTGGTCCGCGTAGATGGCCGGAGCTCGGCCATCCTGCCGTTGCGGGCGCGGCAGCTGTCTGCCAGTCCTGGTAGCCTGAGGGAACCAGCTTTGGCTTGGATGG